AGCGTGGTGTTTTATGTCTCTTTTTAACTGTTTCAGGTAAGATGTCTGAATACACAAAAATGAAAGATTTTATTCTGCATTTTAATGATAACATTTGTTAATTGTGCCTTTTGTACATTTACTTTGAAGACTCTTTCAAACCTCTGAGTTAACCCTTTTTTAAGTTTGTACACTTTTCAGTTGACGTAGGTTTTGCTTTTTTCTGCATTTTCTTTTAACCTTGATGAGAAACTATACTAAGATTTTGGCTTTGCTTTCATGTGGATTTTAAATGAATCATAAATGAAATACCGTTTAAGCCTCTATCATCTTGCCAGGTCTTAAAAATGATGAGCAGGGCACAGATAATAATGGAACTGAAACCAAATTTTACTTATGCAACGGTTAAGAAAACATACATGCATTTCCCCCCCACATTAATTGTATTGTTCAGACTTGTATTTCCTGCACTTCATCTGTCCTGCAGCCATTGATAGTTTGTCACATTTATACGGTAGGAACGTGGCAGTGAAATAGGAAGGAGGAAAAAATCAAATGAGAGAAAAGGAATGCTTTATGTAGCTGGGAAGAGTACAAGAAAATAGATAAAGGAACAGCAAAGAGAAGGAGAAATTAAAATCAAAAAGGAAACTATAAAAAGTGCTTCTGGCTTGATAAAGGAAAGGTAAGAGGCCCGAGGCTCCTAGAAGATCGCCTTAAATCTGTTTTCCTTTTGAGTGGATGGGAAATACTAAATTGTTTGTCAATTAGACATGGCAGCAGTAGGCCTAGCTATCAAAGCCTTGGGTTCAGACATACAGATCTGATTTCCTTCTCAACATTCTCCCACCGTCTGCCGACTCAGCCTAGATTAGTGTCAAACATGCCATGATGAGTTTGGCTTGGCCTCTTGTAGTTGGGCCTGCGCTGATATCCCTCGGTACCAATTACTGGCCATTACATGGTTACTGATCTCACTTCTCCCTCAACCCCCTGTAGGATTTCAGGAAAGCCTCCTCTGTCTTAGATTTCTTTCTCTTTTTAACCCTGACTTCATCTGAACAAAGTGAGTTTAGTGAAGGAGCGCATTGGGCTTTGTCAGTCAGGGATTGTTGGATTTCCTTTCCCTATTTCCTCTTTTTTTTTTTCCCACCAGGCTGAGAGGATAAGACATCTTTATCCACGATGACTTCATACGCTTCTGAACAAATTTTTTTCTTGCACTTTGATTATTGATCTCTTGGATAGCACTGCTTCGTTTAAGCTGCTGTGTTCCTACACGTGCCAAATTAGGGCCACATGTGTCTGTGTGTAGCACAGACAGCTATCTGCAAGTTAGGATGGCAGAAGTATACAACTGTAAACTGCTTTAACGACTAATACAATATTTATTATGGCAACTTTTAACACAAACTCATTAAATGAGTAATGATATGTATGCAGATGAAGTGGTTAGAAAAATGTAGTTCTCCATTGTTCTTTTTTATTATAGGCAGTTAACATATTACTTTATTCTAAATTCTTTGGCTACATCAAGAGGTTTTTTTGTCTGTAAATGAAACAAGTCTTTTTTGTGACTTGACTTTCACTATTTTAGAAAATCTTTAGTCATTTAAGAGGTTTCAACTTGGTTTGCTAAGCTCTGGACAAGGGATGTGGGCCTGGGGTTAGGGAGATGGTTTCGGCTTGTCCACAACCTTCTGGGCTGTGTATATGTGCGCATGTGCACATCTTGTGTGCGCAACAACATGCACTTGTATCTCGGTGTCTATGCATGTGTGTGAATCTGCATCTCATTGCTGGGGACCTTATCCATCCTGACACAGAAATTATGTTTGCATTTTCCCAGCCCTGCTGGTTCATCACCAAACTTGCCCTGACAGCTCCTGTCCACCAGGCAGACCTCCACCCCCTCGACCACCCTCCCCCACCCACCCTGTCCTACGCCGCCTCGCAATGCCCCAGATGCTAGCCAGTTAGTCTGCCGCCTTTGCGGTGCGGGCAGATTGCTAGAGACAGATGCCAGGGCCACTGTGGGTCTCTTTTTGAGGATCTGTGTCATAGGCCAGCCCTGGGCCCTCACTGTGACCTTTACTGCTGGAAGATACTCTGGGAGAGAGTGGGGAGTGTCAGCAGCTCTGAGTTCAAGTGCTTACTACATTAGTAGTTCTAGTGGTACCGGTCTTTAATATCTTCTTGGTCAAGGTCAAAAACTGTAATTACCAGAGAATTAACTGCACTGGCAAAAGTGGAGACCTTTGTGAACCCTTTAAAAGTACAACCCCAAAGATCGTGCACTGAACTCAAGTTATGAAAAAAAAACACCTAATTTTTTAAATCTCTATTTGTATAAGACTTCTGGACTGCATGCGAAAATCAGGTATCTATGCATTAGTGCTCTGTTAGCGCAGCTGTTTTGAGCAGCTGTTGTCTGTTTTGGATTTATACATGCACTGAAGTATGTATTCGTTTTCTTTATTTCCCATTGTGGTTTTATTTGTTCCGCCTCACACTTCCCATCATTTTTAGATATAAAAAAACCCCAACGAAACTCTATTATAAAATGGGGAAAAAATGGAATTGCTAAATCTACACGGAAATGATGTGACATGTAATGTAGTTCTTTCCTTTTTTTTTTCAAATGTATTAAACCCAGCCATTAGACCGTCATTACATCTCATTACAGGTGTAGTACACTTTCCTAAAAGCATGGCTCACTCTGTGAATGGACAGTTCTTTCATTCATCTGTCTGCCTTTTATGTGCCATCACATCATACTGTAATCAGTGCCACCATTAGGGTTTTACAGTGATTTTTAATTATTTATACTTTCATTTTTTGGTTTGTGCTCTCATACCTTTTGGTGAGACAACATCAGATTTACATTTGATTTAATTTCCATCTACGGCTCTTATGTTGATGTCTTTCCTAATGTGTCTCTTTCATTACACCCTCTCTCCTTGTGTGTGACCTGCCACTTGTCTTTGCATCCTCCCCAGCCAAATATAAGTATAACGGATTTGTCAGATCACGTAAGTGTGTTTCCCTGTCCTTCTGCCATAGCTTTGTGTATAGAGTATAGCTCCCTCAGCATGTCATATAACATTCTTAGTAGCGATGCTCTGCTTAAGTATTTTTGTATTTTTACTGTAAAAAAAAAAAAAAAAAAGGAAACCAACTTTTGAAAAACTTTCAGTGTTTCTTTTAAAATATCCAGTTTATTTATATTTAACTTAAATATGATAAAATCATTTTAACATATTTTGACAGCAAACTAAAGTACTGAGATCATTTTGTGTTTGATAACACTATGTAGATCCATGAAATATTCTTTTTGTATTGTGCTGCATGTAGCAGCAGATGGCGCTACAACACCAGGAAACAGTGGAAGCCATAAAGAGGCTGGCGTTCGATTCAAAGCTGATTGCAATATAGGTAAATCTTTGGTAAATAATTGTTAAATGACTTTCCCCCCCCCTCCTTTATTTTACTGGTTAAGAATACATTTCACTTTTGAAATGTTATTTGTCACCTCTAACACTTTGTGTCTACATTTTAAATGTATTTGTTATTATTAGGCATACTGACAATAAAGGCTTTTTTTTGGTTTCCTTTTATTAAATAATGGCTGCCTCACCTGTTAAGCAAACTAAAAGGAAGCGCAGTAATCATAAGTTTTTTTCTTCCCTTTTTTAACTGTAAAGACCACAATGCATGGCTTTAAAAAGCTCTTTCATGCAGTTGCAATGCAGCTGAAGAACAAAGCTCGCTCATGCAGCAAACACTGTAAAGGCAAAGCCAGCTTAGCTCACATAGTAAAGTAAACATTTTTACTTGTTATTCCTCCGCCTCATCATCCAGTTTACATTGGGTCACGGCGATCTGATAAGGCTTGCATGCAGGACAGTACCGTCATGTGATTATCATTTCAAGAAGGGACAGTTGCCGTCTGGGTTGTTCAGGATGCACAGTGGACCTGCCAGGGCGGGTGAACACTCTGTAACGCTGCACGTGTTTGACAAGGGCCAGATGAATCCAGGAGCTATCGGTGGCGCCCTGTAAATCAAGGAGGCAGCTGACGGCTGGGATAAACGTCTGTTTATCGCCCAGGGCCACCCAAGCATGCTCTCTCCTCCAAACAACCAACCAACCACCCTTCAACCAAAGGGAGGAAAAGGGCTCCGCCTCTCCAAGTCAACTTTGCAACCAGATATTTTACTCATCTCCCACTGCTGTCTTCCTACAGTGTGCCATGACCCTTTCAGTACATACAAACATGCGGGTTGACTCTGCAGCCACAGATGGACTGTGTGTGAGTGTGTGTTTCTGTGAGTTTGGTGAAACGACATGCTGAACATATTTGGTACATATGCGAGTATTTATTCTCATACTCAAGCGATTTAGTTTAATAGTGAAAATTCCAAATGCTCTGTTTTTCAACATTTTTCATGCGGAATTAAATCACACTTGTGTACATAATCCAAAAGGAATCCAATACATGTTTAATGATTAGATGTTTTGAATTTATAATATTATAAATATTTAGTTCTATTTGTTGACACTATTGTGGTGTGCCACGCTCACTTGAAGTGACAATATCTAATTGGTTTTGACTGGCTTTAGCCAAGCCATGCCTCTGCTTTGTTCTACCCGAGCGCAGCACAAATGAGAAGTAAAGTTAAGAGGCTTCTAATGAATTTAACACAAATGAAAAGCAAATTAAGAAGGCTTCAACTATTTTTAGGAAATTCTACATGGTTCCTGCCTTTATTTATTAATATTATTATTAATATATTTTTGCTTTAAGCTGGTTCAGTCAAAACTTAAGTTGCATTTTTTCTTAAATAGTGATCAGATATTCATTTTAACATACTGTGAAATAATGATTGTTTTATGGAATTTACCCTGAAATATCTATTTAACAAAATCTAATTTGAAATACAATAACACTTCTTTACTCAGTCATTTCGGAGCATTTAAAGCAGGCGTTCTCACACTCTTTGTTCTCCACTATTTGACAGTAACGGATGAAGTTAGACCGCCTTTTCAAAACAGAACACTTAAAACCACCGGCTGCATCTCCACCTCCATCACCTCAAATGTATTCCTTCCCAATGCCCTGCACCCCAGCCAGGACCCCCTGGTCAGCCCTGGCACAGTCAACATCTCTCTCGTTAATAACCGTAAAGGATGCCTGCTCCACATGCGGCTGGGGCCCGGGGACGACCCCTCGCAATTGCGCTTCAGTATCTCGGGTCCAGGAGACGTGGCGACCAGATCCCTGGCTGAAAGTCGACTGAACCGGGCCCGCAGTCTGCCAGTGAAATACCGCTGCCACCCCAGTAATGCCATGCTGCTCAGTCACAGTAGGCACTGTAGGTTGGCCCCTTAGCGGGATGCATCAGTCAGTAATGCTGTCCCGTCTCTTCATTTTGTCTTGTTTGCTGCATGACGGCTCACTCTGCTGGAGCTGCTGCTGTTGTTTCTCCTGCTGCTTTGCACAGATCTGGCTGCTAGTGCAGTGGCTGCTACTGTCTATATGAGATAACTTTTAAGCGCCGGGATAAAACAGGTGAATTTACTGTAGACAACGTGCTATTTCAGAAGTGGCGCTAGGTGTTGTGAGCTCAGGGATTTTGCACTAATATCATTATGTAGTGGGGAAATGCAGCGTGGTGTCCGTGAAAGCAAAAAGTTCAATTGTTTTAATGTTAAAAAATTAAGTTTAAACCAAAAGGAGTTTGTCAAATGGTATAGCAAGGAAAGCATACTTTCTGCTGTGTGGTATTTTCAAAGTACATCAGAGAGAGAATTATTTGTAAAGTGTAAAATGCTTGTGATATTAGCTATTCTGATTGCCCAATTGCATAAAGGAAATGTCAGAGAATGACATTTTATTAGAAGGCAAAGCCATATTTCTTATCTTTTATTAGCAGAATTAGGTGACAGCATAGAATGGGTGCTCAGAGAATAATGAAATTCAACATGCTTGGAATAACCGCGGCTTGCAGCGCGCACATTGATTTGCACTAATATCATGCTGTGTTATTGATTTCTAACCAAAGGACTAATGCGGGTTTGAAGTGACGGTGCACTTGACATTTGCGCTGGGAGAGCGTAGATTGGATAAGAGTATCTGGGTGCCTGTCTGAAAGCTCTTGAAACTCACAGACAGTGGAGAAGATCAGACTACTGTTAGCTTGACTGAAATCTTCAGACAGCTGGGCCTGGACTCACTCCGGCTGCTCTTTCTCATTCTCTCTGTCTGGCTGGGACTCAAGTAAAGTTTGAGAAACAGTGTTTTTGTTTTTAGATGATTTTTTTTTTCAACCTAGCGAAGCATGGCTGACAGAAAAACGAGCTCAAATGTGATCAAATAATCTTTAAAAAAACAAACAAAAGAGGACTATAAAATAACACAGCATTGTTCAGCAAAACATGAAACAAAGATGCTGTATATTTAATCCGACACAAGTTTTCACAAGTGTTGGGGTTCAAGTAGTTTCATTAGGAAGTCAACTACGCACTCCAAATTCATCTCCATAACCTGTATTTATATCATTGTCATTGCTTTTGCCCATGCCCCAGTGACAATAACAGTCTGTAGCATCACATTGCAATTAATGCTTTAGGTAAGCATGGTCACTTGGATATAAACTGCTAGAGGTCCAAGCGCCTGCAGAGTTCGGTGGGTGAACAGACGCAGTGAAGTGTCAGTGGAGGATGTGCAATATTGCACCTTAGTATAGCCACAACATGGGGGACATTTTAAAAAAAATTCTTATTTTTTAAATAAACCTTCCTTTTAGGTCATGAATTGTTTTTTCTCCATGGTTTCCTCCGGCTTTTTTCAGATTTAATCATTTGTCCATTACTAATATTTTCTCTCTCTATTTTTATTTCCCTTCCATTTTGACACATTGAATTATTAATTTTCCTTTTCTTGCGTTCAGTTTCTTTTTTTGTGGTTTGCATTGAATGATTGATTGATTGTTGCCTATTTTCATGTCAGGTCCAGCTCTCTTTCTGAACCGTCTGTCTCTGCTCTGACATTGTGCGCATGTGTTTTCAGTCGAAGACGAGCATCCGTCAACGCTCTCGCCCAAAAAAAAGCAGCGCAACGGAGGGATGCGAAACTCACCCAACTGCTCTCCCAAAATGATGAGGTAAGAGATGCTGATTTTATTCTTCTTCCAGCCTTCAAACTGGGAGTGAGAGGAAGACAGATATAAGGAAGATGGGAGGGAGCATGGGGGGGGTGTATGTGTCTGAGAGATACTTCAGAGGCGTATGCTGCTGATGGTGAGATGGTGGGAGTTTGGATGGATGGGAGGGGGCAAATTAGGGGTGGCAGAAGAGGGAGGCAAGAAACTCTGTGAGTGAAAAAGAGAAGAGAAATGCCCTGTTAGGTGCTGGCTGTTTAGGATGGCATGCTGTCAGCTGTTAATGACGGAGCTGAAATAATATTTCTGTCATGAAAAGCGGCTGTGAGGAGCCGTTTGAAAACTCCTCTGGCTTTAAAGACCCAGCTGTCACCTCCTCCGTTCTGGTCCACATGTACTCCTTAAACAATGCTGGCACTAATGACACCACCAACCAATCAGAGAGACCTGCATGGTTACTTTGCCCTCGGGCTACTCGTCTATTGTAGGAACCCCTGTGAGTAGTGTATCTGGTACTTAAGGCCATATGCGAGATGTATCGTCACAATCAAATATGAATTCAAATATTACCTTCCTTTTATCCTGTCCTTTGGAATTAAACTGCTGTTAATTGATTTTGAAAGATAAAAAGGGTAGGTTTTTGTGCTCCTCTGACTGCAAGGCGGGGTTAGACGCACGACTGAGAGGAAAATGCAGGGAGGCCGAGCTGTGCGGGTTGGGACGGCGGGATGAAGGCACGGTGGCGAAGATCTAACAGGACAGAAACACTCATAGCTACACTGCTCGTCTCCTAATGAGAGCGAGGGTTTACATTAAGGAACTCTAAAGAGAGACCTCGTAATATATATAATTTTAATCTTATTTATAGAATTTAAACCCTTTAAAAAATAAACAAACTCTAAGGTGGAATAGTTAACATTTCCAAATAAAGTCAATATAAATATGAGCTATTATACAAAGTAGTTCTGTTTTGTTCTCTTTCATACGCTGCATAATCTTTTCACTTATTACTGTACCATTCTGGTTGAGTGCCGTGTACGTTAGCCCTGCTAGTTTCCCTCAGGCAGCAATCCTCCTACTGCACTGGCATGCCTATGTGATTTTTGTCCAGTATAGTTGTCGGCCTCCCCCTCACAACAAAACAAGCACTTAATAAGCCTTCACACTTGCCAAACCATTAGCCCAACACAGAGTCATACCCTTCAGTCTAGTTCGCAGCAGAGCATCAGCTCAGATGCCCTTGCTCAGAGGGAGCAAACTGCTACAAAAACAACGAGACACTGGCACATTTCCAGATAACTGCTTGTTTTAAAAGGTTCTTTAGTTTGCCTAACTTAAAGCACAAAACCTTTTCTTCTCTTCCTTTTCTGCTTAGAAGACGGTCCCCGTTTGCCATGTAATATATGCATCTGCGCTTTGATCTCGCAGTGATAATAATCCTTGCGAGTTATTTACTCAGTTTTGAAAATGCTTCAAAGCGGTGTCAAAGTTTTCTCTGCTTTAGGGTTGCTTCTGTATTCTGCTGGCTCTTGGGTGCTGGGATGACAGGTCCTCTGTTATAGGTGTAGCTTTTTCTTTTTTTTCCCTCCAAGTATTAGCCTTTAGCAGAACATCAAATTACCCATCGCAGTCCACAGTCCCTCCCTCCACCCCTTCACAGCTGCCCCTGTCAACATATAAGACCATATATATTATATAAACCGTTGTGCTTTGCGAGGTGGATTTTATGCAGAATGAAAAGTGATTGTTTGAGGTAGCCTTAGGGATACTTTATTCAACAAGCAAGAAGGGGGAAAACACAGTGGAGAGCTAGCAAGAGAGCGAACATACGTATCAAGTATGGTTTTTACAGGACTCGCAGCCTGAAGGCCTTTGTAAATAAATAATGATCAACAGATTGGCTGTGGGCTTTTGAAAAGCATGCCTTTGTCAGTTTGCATGATGGGAAAAATTTTCAAAGCAAGAAGCTGCCTTCGTAGTCTGGCAGAGAGGGATTGGGGGAGCACGCCCATCCCCAGCTTTGTGACTGCAGAGTGATACACTGGAATAATTCAACTCTGTTTGAAATATACTGAGGGAGAGGGTACGAGAGAAAGAAAGAGACAGAGAGGGAGGGTGGGAGGCACTGGAGTGAGACATGCTGTAAGGGAAATACTGTTTGTCCTCCATAAAAGTGCATCTGATAAAATATTGTATTTCACCGAGCACAACATTTAGTTTGCATTCTGGTACAATGCTAGAAATTAAGCAAAGTTCACGTAATTCTGCATCTACTTGTTCAGGACTGAAAATTCTCAGCAGAGAATATCTGCATTTATCTGTCACTTCGCTCGCTATTTGGGTGACATTTAGGAGCCCTGTGTTAAATAATTTATTAGTAGCCAATCCAGCTTGTAAATTTCCTAATGAACCGCATTCCTGCCGTGGCGCTAACACCATCCCACCCCACACCCACACAAACATTCACGATGGGTCATGACTGACAACACGCATCCATTTGCAGAAGATGTCACAGTATCATCTGCAGCTGATATCCCTTGGGCGTGGCCCCGTAGCACAGACGTCATGTCTGCTCTGCCTGAGCCTTGTGGTAGGTTCAACCCGAGGCGCGGAGAAGGAAGAGGAAGGAGGTGTGCGGCGCCTGTGACAGGCTGCCAGTCACACCGCTGACAGCTCTGTGAAAGATAGCTGTCTTGGCAGTGAGAGGTGGAGCGGCAGCCCGTCTGCATGCGCCAGTCAGCCCCTGTGTGGAGGCGAGCAGAGCTGAGCAGATTGAAGTGACGGGGGGCTCCGTGGAGTTGATTGGCGCAACACGCGGCTCTGGATGAAAGATTCAGGCTGAGTGTAAAAACACTAAATGCTGTCAGTGTTATTATCACCTGCTCTAACTGATAGAGGGGAGAGGGGGGGGGGGAGAGAGGTGGAGAGAGAGAGGGTGGCTAATTGACAGCTTTTTTTTTTCTTTAACTTTAACTTTTGCCTGCGATGGCATGCAATCCAAATGCAGGTTGAAGGAAGAAACGACATCAAAGCCTTGTCAGTGAATGACAGTGTTGATAGAGGATAGAGAGAGTGATACTGAGAGAGATGTATGTCAAATTCTTGAGATATTTTCTCCCATATTACTCACATGTCTATCTCTGCAGTTCCCCCCCCCCCCTTTTTTAGGAGTATCAGCAGTATTGAATTTTCATAATTTTTCTTAAATTCTCAATAAACTACATTTACATTGCTGCAAAACAAGGGGCCTTTGTGGGAAAACAGCACTTCTGCCGTTTATCTTGACTGTGTTTTTGATCACATTTTCTGGACCGTGTTCAGAGGGGCTGTGAGAACATGTCTTGTAGAATAAGTTCAAGAACAGGAGAGGCAGCGTAACAACACTGACAGGAACCCTTTCATGGTCAGTGTTACAGCAGATAAAACTCAGCAGCCCACTGCTGTGGATTAGCCTGTTTGGTTGTGACATGCTGCTGAAACATTAATGACCATCAGCTGGGAAAGCAAAATGTGATTGGGCAAATTCCTGAAATATTTAAAGTGCGAGCCTGTTGGAGCTTTTACTGTTTGCGCCACATGGCGTCAGGAACTGGAAGAGAGGGTAAAAGCTGGTAATTGGCCTTGTGTTGTCATGCCATTCAGTCAGTAGTACTCACATCTTGCTGTTCTCCTCTGTACCACAGTGAGCACAAGGGTCATTGACTTTTCAGATGCCTCTACATAGGGGATGAGACAGATTGGAGGGAAAGATATTCTAGTTATGCAGTGCAGTAGAAAGTTTCATACTCTGAGAATGAGATGGACTTTTAACGATCAGACAGCACAGATATCAAGAAACCCTGCCTGGCTTCTGCCACAAAACGGCCTAACGTAAATATTTTCTCTTTTCCAGTCGACACGATCCCCTTCTAATTCCTGGAAATGAACAAATTGAGAATATGGACATGAACGTGAAGAGGTATGACTCGACAGGGATGTTTCACTGGTGCCCTTCAAAAGACATCGAAAAAGTCATCCTGGTAAGTGGGGCAAAAGTTCTGTAACTGCTACCCTGTGAGGGGAAAATAGTGTATATAAAAAAAGAAGGTACTAGTAAGTATGCTCAGGAGCAAATGTTTCCCCTCAGTACTGCAGTAACACAATCACATACTAATGTGTATTGAAATTTCTCTCACTGCCTCTCTGTTGTTTCAAGGTGAGTTTGTTTTTATATTTATATATACAGTATATGTGTATATCCACCAAGGAATGAGTGAGCAGCATTTCAACACTCGGTGCATGACTTTGCTCAGATGCTTTAACGAGACGGTTTAAAGCATTTATGTTAGTGCATAAATTGTTTGTGTAGGATCAAGTAGGAGGCGCAGTCACCTACTGTGCATAGTAAAGATACGACATATCTTTGCCTTGTCTAAGACTCGAGTGACCCAGGTGCTGTTTTCACTCAACTCAAGGGAATATGAAGGCTGCTTCACCAAAATGTTTCAGATACACAGATAAACATCATTTGCCGCCAGCTGAAAATATGATACAATTTGCAGCTGTACTTTTTTATGAATGTAACAGTTTACAGCTTACATTCGTGCGTGTTTAATTTGTCTAATGAAGAGCTAATAATAAAACCAAACACATGGTTAATAAATGATTACATGTGGATATATAACAGCTTATGTGATGCCTTTAAGCACATTTAAACTCTAGATATGTTGGGGGGGGGTTTTAACTTCATGCACCTGACCCAGTTTTCTGTTATCGGCACTCATTTTTATTCTGTAAACCTGTGTTTGTCTCTATGTGCCTCCTCATCTCTTTTCTGCCTTCGCTTTTTTCCCTCATTCTCTGCTTTTCTCTCCCCCCCTTCCCCGTGTCCCTCTCTTCCCTACAGACCCGGAGTGAAGCCTCCATGACAGTGCTAAGCGGCCATGTAGTGGTCTGTATATTTGGGGATGTCACGTCCGCTTTAGTGGGGCTGCGAAACTTGGTGATGCCTTTAAGAGCCAGCAACTTCCATTACCACGAGCTAAAGCCTATAGTTTTTGTGGGCTCGCTGGATTACCTTCGGAGAGAGTGGGAAACTTTACACAACTTCCCCAAGGTTTCCATCTTACCTGTGAGTGTACTACTTCACCTGCATGTTGAATATCTGTCCAACTTGAAGGCGCTGACATTTTAAGTTGCACTCATGCTGAAATCTTTCAAGCGATTGTCATTTTGAGTTTGATCGCGCATTTCTCAGTTGAATGATTACTTCATGAGAGCTCAGTGAGCCTCCCTCATCCCTAGCAGTGACACATCCTGCATATCCAAAGTGGAGTTTATGAGCGTTGCAGCTGCAGTGCCCATCACAGATGGCGTGGCTTGCTGCCTTAGAGCTTGTTAGGCCTGGTTTGACTGATGATCAGAGGAGAATCACAAACACAGCCCTCAGCGCAGGCTAGCCTTTAGATTAGTCCGTGTCTCTGAATCTCCAACGCCCGGTTAGATCAGTGGAATGTCATCGCCTCAAAACAAGAATACTTGTTAACTAATTTCCCACAGCCCCACTCTGCTCACTTCTTAAATTTATTTTTCTCTCCCCCATGTCTGTCTGTTCTCTGTGTTTTGCTTTCTCTCTCTCGCTGTCTTGCTCTTTCTCTGTGTTCCCCTCGCCCTGAAGGGTACACCATTAAGTCGGGCAGATTTAAGGGCTGTCAACATCAACCTCTGCGACATGTGTGTAATACTGTCAGCCAATCAGAACAATATCGAAGATGCGTCTCTGCAGGATAAGGAATGCATCTTGGCAACACTCAACATCAAATCTATGCAGTTTGATGACAGCATTGGGGTCTTACAGGCTAATTCCCAAGGTAAGAAGTGTCCCATTAGACTCCATGTACACTCCTGGCCAAAGGGGACAGGTTATGGGAGGGAGGAAAGGAGAGTAGTCAAAAAATGGAAAAGGAAAAGAGGAAAAGACTGGAGGGCAGTGAGAAGGCCACACAGGAAGGATAGATGTAGTTTGTCGAGCACAGAGTCTGCTAAGCGCTCATAACTGAAATTCTCTGAAAGTCTGCTTTGAGTCTCGTCTGTAAACTGACATTACTGTAACTCTAACTGAAGATGTGCACACACAGAAACATTGTGTTTATACCTTCATCAAGCCTTTGAAGAGTGTTTACTCCGTGCAATTTTCTGATGGTTTCAGTCTTGTCCCTGGCAATTAGATGCTGCTAAACCTTTGATAATACTTTTTAATGATGTAATCAACATGACTGTGTCATTTGATGTTGTTCCCCCTGATCTGGAGTCTGGCAGATCGTCTGGAACAGATTGTTGATGTTTGCAGACAAACATACGAACCAGGCATCCCATCAGGCCTCATCATCATTAAGCAGCTAGTACAAATCACCAGGCAGGCCAATTCAGCTGCTCCTCATTAGTCACAACAAAACAGCAACACATGCACGCACACACCTCAGTGCTTCATAGCGTGCGCACGCGTTTGCGTGCGTAACACACTCGGATACTCATGCCAAGGCATCCTATCCACAAACATTCACAAACAGGTGATCCTCAGTTTATGATTAGCTTGAAAGGTTCTACATGCCTTGAGGTAAGCAGTTAGTGCCACCACAGCGACTGTTGTAAATACAAATCAAAGTGAAGGTTCAAGAGGTCTTTTTTTTTTTCTTTTCGTAATGGAGGGCATATCCACATTTTTATTAGAATGCCGATGCAGTTACTTCTCCAGCCTGTGTGAGCGATACGCTGTCGATAATAGTGCCAGCAAGCAACAATCGGCAGGAGTAAATCTGAGAGCGCGACCACTCTGGGGAGCACTACTTGCAGAAAGCCACGTCCATCCAGAAGCTCGCAGGTTTATGTCTTCTAACCCAAACCAATGGTTTGAGACTGGCGTTATCAATAACCGGGTCTTACTTTAACGGCCCATTTAAGAAAACACAGTGACATGCAATCATGCATACATAAGAAAATACACGCATATAACCAGGCGCTGCTATTGTATCATGGGTATTGCTGTGAGGATTCCTTCCTCCTAGCGATGCTCTCATTCAGACGCTGTCTGTGGAATTTAGAGGTGCAAATGAATAAGTAAACATGCGCTTTCCTGGGGGAGAGCTTCTCCCGGCTGCTGTAGCATGTAGTCAACCACAGAGCATAGCTGTGCCCGCAGGGCTACAGGGATAAGGGGGCATGTAACCCAGATCTCACTCATCTATTGTAGATTGTAGCTGAATAAACTAAGTTACAGTCTAACAAAAGCAAAAGCCAGCGTCTTTGCTTTGGGGCATCATTTTCATTTTTCATTAAAAAAAAAAAAAGAAGTTAGCATTAATATAAAACATATAAAAAAAGAGAAAAATTGACTGTTTTAAGTATAATTAGGCAATTCAAGAAGCATACTGTTATTTCAATCACAAGGACACAAGATTAGTCTATAAAGAGAAACAGTGTCTTTCTTTAGAGATAAACAGTGTTTTTCATATGGGGTGTATGTGAATGTCTGATGAATAATCTCAGAAATAGATTAAGGCAATCGGGCAGATAAACACATTTGAGCTCTTCTGTTTTTCAGTGCTCAGTAGAGGCTCAGCTCTCTGTTTGGATTTTGCCAGCTCACACTGCATAACGACCTTTGAGCTGTTTGTAACCTAACAGGTTTTGAAAGCAGCTCTACAGCAGGCCTCATGTATCCCTGTTCTCACCAACGCCACTTTCTGGGGTTGCGCTGCGCAGAGTGGAAGGCGCTCTCCTACGTCTTCCCACAGTCTTCATGTTCACTATGATACAATAAGTGCGGCGTTTTAGAGGCAGAATCCAAAAAACTTGCTGTCACTCTCCAGTGGAGTAAACATCATCCTTTATGGACATCGACAAAATGATGCTTGCACTATCTGAGCTGTGCTCCCTGGTTGAAGTGTCAAACCGCTGCTATCTCCTAGTTCAATAATTGGTGTAACAAAAGTTATGATTATCCATGCTTCAGTTCAGTGTGTGCTTCCCGCTGTGTACTAAACTATTTGGTGCCTTTTCCGTTGCAAAGGGCTGAAAGATCTCTTTTGTAATGTAAGCAGCTCATTGAGTTTCTTGACAGAAAGGCACGCACACACTCGCACACAGAGAGAATTTGCAAGCCTTTTAAAACTTTGTGACCTGAATATATTCCCTGCATTATGTTTCCTTGGTGGTGGCACTATAAGCTGACATTTTGCTGTAGTCAGCATTAAATGATGGATGTCAAAACACAGTTGATGCATTATGCATATAGCATTACAGATTTAAGGTGTTTACTTGTCACTTTGAGGAAATGCAAAAATGTGAAGTCATGTGAATTCATACTCCTGTCACTTGCACTTGTATTTCATGGTTCTGTGCCACACCATTTTCGATAAAAGGTTTTCAGGATCCACTTCACCAATTTTATTGTAACAAAATGAACAACATATAAAATTTATGTCTGCCAGTTGATGGAGGGATGTGAATGCTAAATATGTCTTGGCTGACCCCTAAAAGCACAGTATCACTATTGCAGTTTTTAGGCAGGCGCCTGCTTCACTTAGCTGCCTTCTTTGTGTCCGTGTGTGTTCTTCAATCCACACATTTGAATCGCACATAAGGTGCACATCAAAAACTTCATGCTGGGTAAGATAGAATGCATCTGTAATTGTACTGATGCAGAGTTTTAGGTCATGCCGGTGATACTTCTACAATAAAACATACAGACTGCACATTTTTGTTTTGCTATTTGCCATAAAGAGTAAGACCCACATAAAGCCGATACACAGTGACGACATTTAAGTTGGAATCTGACTTTTTATGTTTATTAAATTATTATGCCTCATAAAGAGTAGTCGCATTGGTAATAGCATTATATGTTTGAGGTGAAACAAAATTAAATTAAATTCAAAAAACACCACAAAATGTAAGTTAGGGCTCAAAGAATAAATAATTAGTAAATTAGTAGGAAAACATTAGTTAAAAGTAACATATTGCTATAACTTTAATGATTTTTTATTGTTTTATTATATTTTATTTATTCAAATGTAAATAGTAATAATAGAAACCTATCAAAATCATGTAGTTATTTTTTAGTATAAATTGAAGCTGAAGCAACAGTTTTTTTCTTTAAATGCCCAGTCGTGTGAATTCAGTAGCTTATTGAACCATCTTAACTCCAATAACTTAAAGTAATTTTTTTCTCTTACATCTTTGTGGGAAAAGTTTGACCCAGGCTTCTTTACAATGTTGCTTCAGTTCACTGAAGTTTGCAGGCATTCATTTATGCACATGTCTCTTAAGGTCCTGCCATAGATTCCTTATTATCAGTTTGGGCTTTAACTGGCCATCGCTGCACCTGGATTCATTTTATTCTCAGCCATTCTGTTGTAGATTTGCCTCTGTGCTATACACTATGGCCAAACCTCTCATCTTTGGTCTTGTCCTTCCAGAGGACAGTTTCCAGAAGCATTGGGTTTTTTTGTTTTTTTTAAATGTAACTTTCTTAAACTGAAGTTATGCTGTTATATAGTAAAAAGAGGTTTTCTGCTGGCAGTACCTCCAAACAAGCCATGCTTATTCTGCCTGTTTCTAATTACATTGTCATGAACATTAACCTTTAACATGCTAATTGATGCCTATAGGGTCAAACCTGTAGCTCTTGGGTTTTATGCAGTTTTTTTTAGCTTTGCCTGGTCTAAACTTGGGGTGATGCTGGGATGTCCACTATTGGGAATATTGTGGCATTGTGTTAACGCACACCCAAATGTTCCAGACCAGCACACTGTCAAAAGTTTTGTGTTTTTATAGAGGTGCTCACACTTGCTGATGGTCAGTTAATCAGGTCCATTTGATTAGCAGCACCCGGCTGGCTTTAATGCCTGTGGAAGCAGTGAGGGTGGCATTGAACTGAAAACTTTCTTTTTCACATGACTTTATTTGTATTAAGTAGATATTAAGATTTAAACCCTTTACATCTGCTATAAAGTTTGCTGACCAGCCTGAATACTTGATCCGTAACGCTGTTTTATCTGCTGATGTATTCAGCCTATGTCTTTGTTTCCGAATGTGTAAAGGTTTCACGCCTCCTGGAATGGACAGGTCATCTCCAGACAGCAGTCCAGTACATGGCTTCGTGCGTCAGGCATCTGTCACCACCGGATCCAACATCCCCATCATCACAGAACTAGGTAAAACTGTTTCCACCCACCTCAGTTGCAAACATTGCATGTTACATCCAGTAACTACCAGTCAACTCATTATTCATTTCCAGATGTAGACACACAGAGCTAATAATCTCAGGCATCATTCTGCTATCAAAAGTTCCAACTCATTCGAGGTCAAACAGACTAAACAATGCACGGTGTGGAATTTTTGTCCACTTTCATGTTGTTGATAACTTTGCCCAACTCAACTTCATATTCGGATGTGGGTTACTGGATCCTGCAAGGTTTTTTTTTTTTTGTTGTTGTTTTTTTTTTGTCAAGTGGTGACTCAACTTAAAGGTATCAAACACGCACTTTCGGGACAAAAGCCACATCTCCTGCCATTTGTCCACTAATGGACAAGAGAAACTCAGCCTGATGGAGAGAGTGAGAGAGGGAGAAAAGGGAAGAGAAAAGGTAGAAGAGGAAAAGTGCCTTGGTTGCAAAATGGGTCCATTTATTAATCACAATACCACTGGTTGTATTCCCAATGGTGATGGGGACTCATGAAACTTTCAGATCTCCGAGGGGCCTTCTAAAGCACTAGAGACTAGCTACTCTGTCTCCTCTGACCCAATTAGGGAGCAATGGAGCATGAGGCCAGCTAAGAAAAGGCCAGAAAGAGAAAGAAGCTGCCTAATATTACTTGTAACCAGCACAGCCATTACCTGAATTGAGCCTCTCCCATTACACTCCTAACCGCATATGTAATCATCAAAACTAGATAGTCCACGTTAGAGCCAAAGGCTTCTGTCCTGGACCTTAATGCTCATGGCTCTGGAGTTGCCTCTCTGCATGCTCTTTGCTTAGAAAATTTTCAAGCTGCAGCATCACTAGATGCGATAACATTGTCTTTTAGGAAAGGAAGAAGTAAGAGAATACAAAGGGAAGAGTGGCTGCTTGTCTTACGCCAAATATATGCTGTACTTACATTGTCATATGTTCAGGTTACAGTGCCAGAAGCAGATTAAAGTCACTTTCAAACCTAAAAAACACGCCTCATCTGAGTTTCGTGATCAATTTTGTTTGCATGGCATGTGAAGTAGGTGTGTTTATGGATAAGATCCTTTTCTTTATCCGTCTCACTGCTTTACCATGAAATTATTTATTGTTGTTGAAGCGGCACGGTGCTGTGACAGCTCGGGCTTCGTATCTACTGTGCACTCTAATCCGGGGTGCTTCACTTTTAGACACCGGACAGCCGTGAATATTTCAGAGTAATTCCGAAGTTGACGCGAGCAGTCTCGAGACACCCGAATGCCTTTACTGCAGTCTTTGAAACTGTTTCAATAACGACACAATTTCTCCCTCTCTCTGCACTGTCTCATCACCATTAGCTAAACCTGGCAAACTACTGCCATTGGTTTCACTCAGTCAGGAAAAAAAAAGTGGAACCAGCATACAAATGATAACAGAGCTGGGTAAGCTGAGCCTTTGTCCTCTGCTGCCGTTCGTTCCCCCTCGCTCCGTCGCTCCGCTCCTCATCAGCTTGTCTTGATTTATCTGGCTGCAGTCAAGGCTCTTGCTGCTCCCATGGCTTCACTTTGAACACATTTTTATCCTTCGTTCTGGCTGAAATTGACTGTCTTGTTTTGGCCCTCTTTTTACTGATTTTTTTATTTTTCTTATTTATTTTGGGGCATTTTTTTTGTTTTCTTTCTTCCAGTTGGGTTTTTGCAGAGCTTCGCTAGGCCTTTGATCATGTTCAGTCTGTCCTTGTGGCTGTTTTCATAGCAACACCCCCTCGGCCTCTCACCACCCCTACCTCCCCTCCTTGCCACCTCCACACACACACTAACTCCCGCTTTCCCCCCCTTCACTCCGTTGGCCCAGGCCCGTTTGCATCAGCCCCCTTCTCTCTTTGACTGACATTTTTGTTCCACAGCTCACAGGAAACAAGGGAAGAAATCAAATTTCAAAAATAACAACAAGGAACAAAATCTTTTAAGCTGTTTGTTTATTTTTAAAATGTATTTTTCTTTTTTTTTCTTTCCCTCATGCCATAACTCTGAGGCACAGATACTGCACAAGTCAAACAGAAAACTTGTGTGATGCTCTCTTTTAGAGTAACGTTGGCTCATAGCTTCATCGCTGTCCACTGCTGCTAGAAATACATTATAGGGAAAAAGATTTGCAGCAAGAACTCATTCTTTTATTACACTTAAGAGGTTTTTAAAAAAATCCATTTATTATCAGGCTAGTTTCATTTAGACTGTGCAGATCATGTTTTTCTTCATCATAATATAAAAAGTGTGTTGTTATCTGGTTTTAATTTGACTTTCGGGGCGCAGGTAAATATGTGAGATGTATCTCCACAATGGTGATGATGTGACAAACACATCCATCAAGAAGGAATTTCCTAAAAAAACAAAAAAAAAAAACATAGCATGTCATTAAGTGCATGGTTTTCTCATGTGAGATAGTAGCCATTGTTGAAGTCTCAAATTTTACTTTTTAATGAACCCTTATAAATATATAGATATATGCTTTTTTTTTAAATACATATCTGTTTTTGTTTTTATGTATGCTACTGTCACTGTATTTTGAAATTCTGTGCAGTTATGTACCTTGGATAGCAATATAATAAATAATAAAAGGAAAACCAAAATGAGTATATAGTAGCTACAGAGATGCTAAGATTGGGGACTTCTTCAATGGTTATCTAAAGTTGTGGTTTGCCTAAATGTATGAAACGCACCCTGCATGTTATATACAGTACATAGAATTACATATATTACAATGTACATATTAAAAAATGAAAAAGGTATTTTATTCAGCAACACATTTTTGTCACATTCCAAACAATTAAACATATGAGGACAAAAGAAGAGTATTTTTAAACTTGGGCATCAATTTTACAATAATTATTGATTTCATGATCAGTGGAAAACATGTCAATTGTTTGGAGAAGAAATGAATTTTATTTATTTTTCTTGTGTTTTAAAGTAAGTGCAGTGGTGTATATATGCAGTGAGATATAATGTGCATCTGATGTTGCATTATATTGGAAGCTCCAACCATACCGCAATACCTATATGCCTGAGACCTTCTTCTTCCATTACTAAGATGTGTCCTAATCTTTTAAAATGTAACTCAGCATTTAAAAAAAAAAAAGAAGAAGAAGAAGAAGTGTATCGTATGCTATTAAACTCTCAGGTGTGCACTTCACTCTGCCCGTCTCTAACTCGGCTGTGTCCCCTCTCTCAGTGAACGACTCAAACGTTCAGTTCCTGGACCAAGATGATGATGACGACCCAGACACAGAGTTGTACCTCACTCAGCCCTTCGCCTGCGGCACCGCCTTCGCTGTCAGTGTACTCGACTCCCTGATGAGTGCGGTGAGTTCCTAAACAGACTGAAAACCCACTGTGCTTGTTTTAAATTTTACAATTTTTATTTTTGAAATTCTCCATCTGCATGCTTTAATAGCTATATTCATTAGAGAAGAGTTTCAAATAAAGTACATAAAGACTTAACTGCATGCTGTTGCTCAGGTAGAGACTGTAGATTAAGGTAGAGTTAAGACATTGCATTATGTTAATAAACCCAGATCATTTCCTTATTTTCCTTATTTACAATTAAATTGCTTTAGAACAATAAATTTTCAGATGTACCTGTACTTACCTATAAGTTACAAACTCAGCTGGTGTATATAATAAAAAAAACACATCCTGAGATGATGTGTTGACATAAATTTAAGTAGATGCGCAGTTTTGGCATTTCAAGTAGGCAGAAGTTGGTAAATGAAATGGCACAGTACATTGATCACATATGCCTGCCAACTCCACTGACATCAGAAGAGAAATAGTTGGCATCACTCACCCTAAGTGTTGACTGTTTAACTTTCAGGAGTTTTATTTTAACAAAGTAAACTAAAAGTTAGTGTAGTAGTGGTGATATATGTGCAGCTAGAAAGGGGCCAAAGAAACGCTGTTTTGTCATTTGTGATCACTGAGCCGGAGATAAGAAAAAAGATGAAATGGGCAGAAAACAAGCTACAGAAAAATTCTCCCTCTCCTGATGACCAAGTGTGTTGTTTCCCTTTGGTGCTGTGATGGCTTAATTCCAGCAGTTCTCTCTGCGAATAAGGGGTTAGAGTAGCGTGCTGAGCTGAGCTGTGCAGGGAGTATAGCGGGCGTCAGCTGTAGTCTGGCACTGGTCAGAGGTGAAGCCAGCTAATGGACACTGCTCATCCATCATGAGGCTCTGCAGGCCTGTCAGGGTCCCAGTGAGGGGCGCTGCCACTACGGCCCGTCTGCCTGGTGACATCAGCTGTCTTCACTCTTAGCAAAAGCAGGTTCTGATCGGCTTGAAGGACAGGAGAACCTGACACTTGCAGATCGCAGTCAAATTGTTGTTTCGAAAGTCAAAGCAGACCTTGTGGGGTGCGTAGAGGAAAGAATTATGTTTTGTGGAAGTACTAGTGTTTTATTTAACGCAATGATCCCACATGTACTATGGTTAGCAAAATGTCCTTGACCATGTAGCTCTAAAATTTGATAGATTTATGTATCTTGAATTTTATGTATATTTTAGTGCAACCTAATGCAACATTTCTCATACTCAATACTTAAAGGGCTGGTTCACCAACTAACCCCCCCCAAAAAAGCCAAAAAAAGCATGTTTGCACTTATATCTAGTTGTATTTATTCATGTATATGGTTCTGTTTTCAAAGTCAGTTTTTAAAAAAATATTTTAATGTATTCATCTTGGTGAATGGCGCATGAAAAGAAAGATTTTAAAATATCATTTTTTTAAAGCAAATATTCACTATTGCATAAAAAGATCAGCATTTAAAAAAATGTATATTTGATAAGAAACGGGCACAGTGAAAAATGTCAGTGTTGAGATCTGTGGGTTATTGACCATAACAGCAAAGTGGTTTCTACAAAGATGTGTTTCTGTTGACTTTTCAAATAAATTCATTTATTATCAGAAACCTAAAGATTAATAACTTCAGTAAATAAAGTCCAAACTACCTACAGTGAAATATCACAAGAGGTAAGGAAGAAAATATGTTTTCAATAACTAATGAGTAGTGAGAGGTAGTAAGGTCTAAGCACTTTTTACTTATGTCTGCTACAGCTCTACTGGTGACTCTAATGGCATCTGCTTATACATATACCTTTTTTTCTCTGTCCAGACATACTTTAATGATAATATCCTCACGCTGATTCGAACGCTGGTAACAGGGGGAGCCACGCCAGAGCTGGAGGGTCTGCTGGCTGAAGAGAATGCTCTCAGAGGAGGCTACAGCACACCGCAAACTCTGGCCAACAGAGACAGGTGTCGTGTCGCCCAGCTAGCCCTCTACGACGGGCCATTTGCTGACTTAGGGGTAAGTGGATGTTTAAGTGCAGATGACACATTTTGCCACTACCCAGCCGCACACATCTGCCCACCTCTGCTGCTCCCGGGCCTTAATCTGATGTGAAGAACAGTGATTGTGCAAAGCAAGCCTTAGTGGGTGGAAAGGGAAGATCGCTTTGAAGAGAACAATGAACCAACATGGTGTTGGTTCTAATTGGTTCCAACCTTGTTTTTAACAGGTTTTCTTAATCTTGTGAACTATGAGTAATGAAGTTTTTTTTGTTTTGTTTTTTTCTTGGATGAACTCTGGCATAATTTTACAACACTGCCAGTTTTTATTGCAGTCTCCTCTGCCAAAAGTTGGTGTTTACTGGCAAGCAAAAGACTGGTACAGAGCGCATGAATCTCACAACTTAACAATTCCATTTATTGTCCTAACCTGACTGACCTAACACACAATCATGGTTTCTTTGTTCTGTTGTTCACCAGGATGGCGGCTGCTACGGAGATTTATTCTGCAAAGCACTGAAGACATACAACATGCTGTGTTTCGGAATCTACAGATTAAGAGATGCACATCTCGGTGCACCAAGCCAATGTACAAAACGGTATGATACAAGCTTTTGCTCATTGACAAAATGAATATCTTGATGTAATAGAATGAATGATTACGCTTGTAGACTCCAGAGTACTGTTGTATACAGAGGCATTTGTATTAAACTCAGTGACTACAAGGTGTTCAGGTCTTGTGACTGCATAGCAAGCCCAAATCATCACCACTCCACCACCGTGCTTGACAGTTCGTCGATGTCTTTGTGCTCATATTCTGGTATCCTGCATCCCTTCCAAATGAGCCATTTTTATTCAGTCTTTTTCTAATTGTGCAGTCATGAACTTTAACATTTAAAACACTAGCCAGAGCCTGTAGAGTCTGAGATGTAGCTCTTGGGTTTTATGCAATTTTATGTCACAGTTTCTCTGATCGTTTTCTCTGATCTTGGGGTGAATTTGCTGGGAGCTCCACTCCTGGGAAGATTGTGCTATTGTGTTAACATTTACCTGAATGCTCCAGACTGCAAACTGCCAAAACCCATGCTTTTACAGAGTTGATCACGCTTGCTGATTTTCAGTTGCATTTGATTAGAAGCGCCTGGCTGCTACTTATTAATTTAATCCCTCTAGAAAAGGTAAGGGTGTACTTAGAGGCCTGTGGAAACGTTATTTTTAACATGACTTTTATGTTTAATTTTTAAATGTTGCAGTAAATGCTTTGCCGCTCTTTCATTGATGTATCTGAGTCTTATCGTCTGTAACATGTGTTTTCCGGCTAGGTATGTGATCACAAACCCTCCATACGAATTTGAACTGGTGCCCACCGACCTGATCTTCTGCCTAATGCAGTTCGACCACAACGCCGGCCAGTCCCGGACAAGTTTGTCCCACTCTTCCCACTCCTCCCATTCCTCCAGCAAAAAGAGCTCATCCGTGCACTCCATCCCCCCATCGAACCGGCAGAACCGCAGCAGCAAGACCCGGGAGTCCCGCGAAAAACAGAAGTACGCATACGCACATGTCCTGCAATCTGCCTGATTAGTGTTTTATACCCAACCTGTACAGTATGCTATAGGTGTGTGCGTGCGTGCGTGTGTGTGTGTGTTTGTGTGTGTAGACGGTGATGACACATGCACTGATGATTACTGTGTATTATGTGTTTGTGCTTTGCGTCCATGCCCTGTGTTTGTGTGTTTTGTTCATAATCATCTGCATGTGGTCTTCACTCTGACATCACTGCAGTCATAACATGGCATAAGCAAATTGGTAAACTCACTTTGTGGAGAACTGGGTTCATTTATTTGCCTCAAAGACTCGAGCCTCTTTTGTAAACAGTAAGGCCATTTGTTTGGATTAAACGGCCATTGTGGTTGGAAAGAAGATTACAGTAAAAAGCCCCAACCACAACTCACTTTCAATATGTTGTTTGGTCTACCTGTTGTATTTGTCTTAATAGTTAGTTGTTTTGTGTTTATCTTGTAGTATTTGTGGAGTAAGTAACTGTTATGTGTTGGATATTTGTGCACATGATCAGCACACCTGGATCATGGATGTAACGTACTGTGATTTGGCTACTGTAGCTGATATTTATTATTAAGTTGACATTACAGATACTCATAAGATCATCCCTCATTAGCAGTGTTGATATTTTGTTAATCATGGTGCATCTGTACTGCTTTATTGCATGTCCATGTTGGTAGCCCTTTTGAGCAGGCTATTATTTCCTGTACTTTATTATTCACTTATAAGATTATTTTCAAATTTGGTGAAATATTTTTGACAATACTTGGTGTTTATTCCATATTTTCTCCCAAAAATGAGCGTAATTTTCTTTTGACTTGGGAGAATAAAGTCATTTTTGAAGCGTGACATATTCTAAAAGCATGCAGATTTGTTACAATCGTACTCCAGAGCTGTTAAGGAGTAAAGGAAAAGTCCTGAATACATCTTGAAACGTAGATGTATTATATCAACCGAATGCTGTAATGACAACATGTACGCATAAGATAGACTGGTAGCCATTTGTTAGTTGTGTATTAACTGTAAATACGCCTCACTTACAGTAGATTACTTACCTCTCTTTCTGAAGTGCAACAAGGATGAATAGAATGGGCCAAGGTATGCAAGTTAACGATTCTGCATGACTTAGCAACCTTTTTACCTGGGGTTCTGATCATAACTATGTCCTCTGTGGATATTGTTATGATGAGGGGAGTTTGTTTTATTTCTTACGTTCTTCAGACGTTAAGTAAACCATGCCTCAGTTTAAGTTTTGCTTTCATCTGGAAAGCAAAATGTCTGCTGCTGCTCCTGCCTCCCTGCCATGATCAGGACCATTTCCACACTGCATGAGGTTGAGACAACCCCTACACCCTACCACCCCACCCCACCCCACCCCACCCTGCCCTCCCCCTCCTTTGTGCCTCTACCTCAGTTATTTATTTCATGATATGATTTTTTTTCCTCTCTCCTACAGACAAAATCATCTTCCACATTTTTTTCTCATTATCTATCATGCCTTCTTACGGTTTATTTGAACTTGAGATGGTTTGCATTGTGTGAGAGGTCTGTGTGTTTGCGCATCTTCCCTCCTATTGAATGCTATGAGACGACTGTAGCAGACTTTCAGATGTAAAATTTATCCTCTCATTTAGCACAGCAACTATGTTATTATAATAGCATCAGCATGTACCGCAGAGCAACTACGTGTTGTAATACTGTACATACATGTACCATAGCTCACATGTAGGTCAGACTGATTCAAATCCCCCTGATGCAGCCAAATTGCTTACTTCTTCACAGAACTTTAAGAAAGTGTGTCCAGCCCTGTGCCATCGGTCACACTGCAAAAGTGGGAGGTGTGACCAATTTAGAGTTTAAATTGAAGGGGGAATATGAGTCTGTAAGTCTCCTCCTTGTAACCCTGCACGCCTGATATGGTGGTTTGAGGCGACATCACTAAGTTCACCGTATCAGCAGTAGACTCCGGAGAGAGATGGCAGACATCTTGCTTCACCTCAGGCACAATTCTACACATCAAATGTCTTTGCTGTAACACACAGCCCTGCAGCCTCAAGCTTGCTGACACACACACACACACACACACACTCAAGCCCACACAAATGAATCTCTGCACATGCAGTCCTGCATGTAGACGAGCACTTTCACACACGCACACACACACGCACGGATGCGTGCACAGGGTGTGCTCCACATCGCAAAGTTAAAATTTGATATTACAACTTCACCCAAAAGGAAGTGACATCTTGAATGGCGTTGCAGTCGCCTGTGAAGTGCTGGGAGTGAGTTTACAAACTTCTGACAGCTGGCATACACACTTCCCTTTCCTCAGAAACACTGCTCTCATAGCCTACTTAAACATGAAGAGATTCTCTCCTAGATGACACATCCAACCCTCTCAAATCTCCTTCCTGCTCTCATGCTGACAGTGATTTTAAGAGCTCACTCCGAAATGCGACTGTTTAGGGTGTGGTGCACTTTTTAAAATTATTAGCTAAACAACCAGATCACCCAAATCGCAAAAGACACATTTTCTATAATTCCACTATCGGTAAATGGTCCTACAAAAAGTTCTGGTTTTATTGCATGGTATCTATTTCTTTGATTTCTGCGACCATCCAAATACAACACAAGTGAATAGAATTTCACAGCACTAACAATTTAGAGTTTACCACAAAAGGCACATTTTCCTGTCGATATTTGAAAAGATTAATTAAACTCAGTGTTCACAAGTACAAAGTACTGGTTCAGTTGTGGATCATCCTCTGGTTACCTGTTATTCTGTCAATCCTAATCCACTATTATTTGTTTGTTTTTCCAGAGGAGATGAGCTATTTATTTGGTTTTCGTTTAGTTGGAGTAATTCAGGTTTATTGTGTGTGCTGAAAATGTTCAGATGCTGCATCTGAAAAGCACAGACAGTGGGACCTCTCTGGATAATAACAGTTTAATAACAGAACCCCAGTTTTACCAAACAAGAAATACTGCATCCCTACTCACAGCTAGGACCTTTTACCTCTTTTCCACCAATGTAGTGCTGGTGCAGAACCAGTCCTCTCCTTTACCTTTTGAAATCCTGCTCAATTTTTAAGTGGCTTAATGGTAGAACATGGCATAGCTTCAAGTAGCAAACGCTTGGGTAACATCCATTTGAAAAAAGCTTTAATAGATGGCTGCCCCTCCCTGAGCCTGGTTCTGTCTGAGGTTTCTTCCTGTTAAAAAGGGAGTTTTTCCTTCCCACTGTTGCCAAAGTGCTTGCTCATAGGAGGTCATATTATTGTTGGATTTTTCTCTGTATGTATCATTGTAGGGTCTACCTTACAATATAAAGCGCCTTGAGGTGACTGTTGTTGTGATTTGGCGCTGTATAAAGAAAATTAAACTGAATTGAATTGAAAATTGAATTAATAAGAAAAATCTGCAAACTGTATCTATGATTCGGTGAGATGCTTTTGCTTCACTGATGTTTGCTTCACTGATGTTTGATGGTTCCATCTTATGTACCAGCACATTTGTGCACACATGTGCTTATGCCACTTTTTACATGAAAAAGCAATGAACCAGTTCAAGGGGACATGCTCATCAGATAGCAACTTGTCATTCACAAGTTAGCCCATTTCTCAGTCAGGTCCTTGCACATTGCATTCAGTTTCACTACATGAAGAACAGGTTTCATAGGGGGACTAATTTAATCATTGTGTTAAATCTCAGTGCTAAAATCTGTCTTTTAAACTATGATCAGTAGGGTTAGGGTTGGTACCTTTTATATCATCTTTTATACTATTGTCATGAGTGTGGCCAATCTTTGATGAGCAAGCTGTGTAGCAGAAAAACAGAATGCAAAAATTAAAAAAGCAAAAAACAAATAACCGGTTAAATATTTTAAAAATAATTTTCTTTGGTTTCTTTTTGTTTTCTAAACTTGATTTCACGCTTAAAAAAAATCGGGACACAGACTTACTAAAAGCTATGTTGCATTCCCTCTTCTTTTAATACTCTAATCCTTCATTTTTCTGGGTGTGAACTGAGGAGATTCTGCTGCTTTCAAGGCAAAATGCTTCCTCATTTTTGCTTATATTGAATTTCAGCTTTTAAATAATTCATCATAATCCACTATTGTTGTTAAGGGAAATTATCAAATATTTTCAATGGGTGATGGGACAGGCCGACAGGAAGGCCAGTTTAGTACAGATGGAGAGATGCTTTTTTGTTCCCTTCCGAACTTTTTTCTTAGCACCAGCACTTAATATTTTGTCTTTATTACTTTTATGTAAATAATGTTTAAATGACTTGCAAATTTATGTATATATTATTTATAGTGTGTGTATATATTTTACACACCATATTTCTTAGAATGGTAAATGAGCCCCTGTAAAAATGTGTCAAATGTGTATTCTTGTAAATGGCAATGCATCTACATAGTTTTAATGATAATACCAAGATTTCTAAATCTATTGCTATACTTTAATATTGTAAAGGCTTGATATTTAAATTCACCCAGATTTTTTTTTCTTTTATTTGAAAAAAAAAAAGTCCCACATTTGCTTCCACTCACACTGCCCTTGGCAATTTGAGGGTATTTATGTTGAATTTGAATCCACCCGTTCCACATCTTGAGTCTGGCTGGTCAGAGGAATACACTCATTGGAGGTTTTATACAGACTATTTCTTTGCTATAAAGAGATTCTTAAAAAAATAGTCTTTATTTAGACTAATTTTTAAGAATTGACAACACAGAGTCAACTGACATTGACTCTGTATTGTGGTGACAGCAGAAATCTCTGGAATGGATGTCTCAAAATCTGGAAATAAAACCAAAACTATCCAAAAACAGGAGAAATGGTTTAAAAAAAACAAACATTGTTTTCTGTTTTGTAATTTGGGTGAGCAGATCCTGAAATATGCTTTAGTATGTACTGTATAGCATACTAGTCTGTTCTTCTTTTTTCTTTTGTCTTATCAGTCTTCCCACAATTAATTAGAAATCTGATATAACATACCCACATAAATACAAAGTCAGTTCTGGACAATGCCACCATATCAACTTCAGATTGGCTCAGGTCACCAGAAACCAAACTGAAAGTGGACCTTGCGTACGACAAAGAATGCCATGCAAATCTTAATCTCACTTAAACTGAGGCAGTATGGTTGTAACTAAACCAGCATTGCATACTTTTTCTAACTAAACCCTTGTTTTCTTCCTCTCTCACGTTTTCCCCTTTAGAAAAGAAATGGTTTACAGATGAACCAGAAAATGCCTACCCAAGGAACATTCAGATCAAGCCCATGAGCACTCACATGGCCAACCAAGTCAACCAATACAAATCCACTAGTAGTCTGATTCCACCAATCAGAGAAGTTGAAGATGAATGCTGAACACCAGGCTTTCTTGCTGACTCACCAGACATCTGTACGCTCTTTACGAAAGAGATTGGAAGAGATCACCAAAGGAGGGATGATGATGATGATGATGATGATGACAGAGGTGGTGAAGATTGACACATTTCTCCTCACTCATTCTTCTAATTGAGGGTTGGACAGGAACCCAGACTGGGAAGGGACCTCCTATGTGTATATGTTTAATGTTACTTCCATGCTCTTGGACATTTGTTTTATTTATTTATGTGTCCATAGAAATGTACATAATGACAATCAAATAAGGATTGTACAGCTCCTTCCCTCTAGCACTTTTTGGAATTATTTTGAGAGTTGATGGAAAAAAAAGAAAGAAGAGTACTTCCTGTAATTCTTTGCAATAGTTCACCTCTTCATGTGACCAGACTCCATGGCTGAAGTGACTGGTTACTGGAGGATGAGGGTTGCAGCGATAAACTGATCATATCATCTCCCAAAGATTAACTCAGTTGCGTCACATCAAACCGGCTGGGTTCATCGCCGTCATATCTCCCGTCTGCTTCTGTTCTATTTGCACTAAAACTGAACAAGTTTCTTTCCACAGAACAACTGGAAACATCAACACCCCCCACCTCCCCACGCCACCTCTGAGTAAAGAGTCATTGAGGAGATGACGGAGGAAGGGCTGCTCGGCTTTGGAGGCATACTAATTTTGTTCTCAGTTTGTTACTCATCGTGTCATTGCTTTAAGGTTTTGCTGTTTCACCTTGACTCGCCATGTTGAGTGAGATCAATCCAGGCCTGAAAACAAAAAACAAAAGAAAAGGAAATCAAATATTGCAAATTGGTAATCTAAAAACTCGAGACAAGTGCATGCTGGCTGGAAGGAGAGCCCGAGTCTTCTGCTGATGTGTCAGATACCTGTGCTTGAGCCCAGTAGATGTTGCGGTTAATCAGCCTGAATACATGAAAAGGATAAAAAAAAAAACCCCAACAACAACAAAACCTGCTCTGTCCTTCATGCATTCAGGTTTATGTATAAACTGTGTGTATGTGTGTGTCGTATTACAGCCACTTGTCCTTCTGATGCTGCACTGTCACTCCCCACCAACACTGATTTGTATGTGATGAAGCACCTTTGAGGGAACAGCATGTTTGAAAAGAAAAAAAAAGAGTCATAATAGACACAAACAGTAGGAGATCATAAATCACTTGGATATTCTAACAAAGGCATTGAGTTGCATCCAAAACCAAACCAAAATAGCCAACTATGATTGAGCGTATCTAACATGAACAGCAGCTGCATGGCGTTATAACTGTAACAGCACTGGGATCACTCAGCAAAGTGGTGTATTGCCTGTAACATAAAGTTAATATATGAGGAAAGAAATGCCACATATTGCGTAATAGTGGGCATCAGTGGGTCCTCCTTTGATCGGAGCAACTGCCTGGCACGGGGTTGGCACAGAGGCAGTAAAGAGCTTGGATGTTCTCTGTTGCCAGCCCAGATGTCGCACGCCAAGCTGCTGTGTTCAGTCCTCGAACACGAGGAAATGCTCAAGCATAGTTGGTGGAAATGCAACAAATGCCACAGGCATAAGGACAAGGAAGTGGAACGTGCTCGGGTGCAACATGAGTGTATTTTCTGTATGCTAACGCGCCTATATATCCAAATGAGGCTGCTGCATGGACGGAGGATTGACCCGGTAGCCTCGTACTCCTAATGGTCAACCTTGTCCAAGAAAAAAAAAAGTAGTGGGATTTATACATTTCAGCATAATTATTTTATATCCATAAACATAATCAATTTGTACTTATTTTTCTAGTCAAGAGCAAAGTTAAAAGTACTTTAGGAGAAGACTGAATTGATATATTTAATTACAACTACATATCAAAAGATTTTATGTTGGACTGTCACTTTGTCACGTATACTAAAACAAATGATTATTTTTGTAATCACCCTAGCCCCTCTCTGACAGACTGCATCACTCTGGAGCTAACATAGCTTAGACTAGCTTGCATTGTGAAAACATCTTCAGCTTGGCAGCTCAGCTCTGTTGAGTGCTTGTAGAAATAAATTTAGGCTAATCGGAAGCCTCCTTTGGTTGCACAGATGCAGTGTCTACTAAATAATGTGTCTACTACTAAGCGTCCCTTGCTGAGAACATGCATAAAGGGAAGAAAGGCGTAAAGGAGTTGTGTTTTGGGGGAGAGGGTAAATGTACTTAACTAAGCAGTGGATTAGAATGGTTAATAATGACGGGATGAATAGAAAGTTTCTCCCACTGTGTGCAGACCAGAACCGAACGACCTTTATTAGATGACTGTGACCTAAATTAGGTCCCTAGCATGGAGTAGGAGTGTGTACACTACCACAAAGTGTGCTGGTATTTTCCACAGAATATGACCGGGAGACGCTGTTTGTTTATTGCAGCGATCCTGCTCTATAGATTGTAAAGAGAACGTCATTCTGAAAATAGAAAACAATTTTGGAAAATGGAAAAGATGATACTGTGCTAAATATGTTTGTGTAAACTCAACCCATGATATAGATGACATTTCTTTCTCAATCAAAATGATCTGAGCCTCAGTGTCCGTCTTTTGGGTGTGGTACAACTATGCTGAAGCCTCATACACATTGTCCTGAAGTGAATTTTTGAACTGTGATTACATCGTTGTCACACATTGTAGCAAATAGGTTTCTTTTTTGAAAAATATGTGAGTAAAATGTACGTATAATTGGGTTGTTAACGCCATACTTTCTAGCCTGAACTTTAAGGAATTAATATTTGGTAACGTCGGTCGCTCACTCTACATAAAAATCGACAAACTGATTGTTCTGTTGAGAAAAAAAAAAAGATGAATATGTATCTCAAAAAAATAAAAGATCTTGGTTTATTGTAGGAATGCGGAGACTATTCAAGTACTGTATGTGGCACATGGATAGGTTAGGCAGAATTTGATCAGCCATCACGAAGATGAAAGGTAGCACCATTTCAGCAATTATCGAAAGACAGGACATCCTTCTTTTTCCTGTTTCTATTACTTTGCTTTGTATCAGGGTTTACATTCCATTTTGTCAGCTCATCATTATCTATCACAAACTGTCACAACTGCTTCTTATTTGTTTACAGAATATTTTTGAGGCACTTAAACATAGCAAAGTGGTACATGCTGCAAACCGGCATAAACTCGCAAAGTAATGCACCATTTACTTTCATTATACTTGATTACTGTGCTTTTTTTTTTTTTTTTTTTTTAGACCTGAACCCTCATTGCACAACTCATTCAGGCTGGCATTACTCACAACACTGGACTGGGATGTCTCTCCTTCCTACATCTTTTCAGATGTTCTTTGCATTGTATACCTCTAAAGTTTTTGGAGTGTTTTTTTTTTTAAGTGCCATGAAGAGTTCAGTTGAGCAGGCATCCTTCAGTCATTCAGGGACACAGGCTTCCTTTAAGGGAGTCCACGTGTTTTCCACTGTGAGAATAAAGTCTTGTACTGGCATGGAGAACATCCAAGCCATCAATGCCTCCATGCCAGTATAGTGCCAGGCAGTGCAGGAGGTCAAGAGGAGGGCCCATATTAAGTCCCACTAAAGCGAAAAGTGGCATACAGGAGGCCCGAGGGGCTGATGGGGCAGATGGATACAAGCTTCAGTCAATAAATCACACATGTCCTATCTGCCAGATGCTTTGTTAAAGGTTAGCAGGTTGTGTCATACAGTGTAATGAGATATGGATGACTGAAAGATGCACAGATGTGTTGTTATCCACTGAACAAATCAAAAGACTGACGCGTCATATGTTACTGTTACAGTATGTTGCATTAATTTTGTTAATCTATTTTTTTGCTGTAAAGGATGGAAATAGAAACTTATTTGCTGGGAAATGTACTAGATATATAATAGAACATAAAATACTTATGGGGATAGGAGGTGGGTCTCAAGTCTTAATAATACATGAAAACTGCATTCAGCATTTTCTTTTAAAGAAAACTTGCTTTTTTTGGCTGCCTATCAGTTCAGGAAGAATTCAAGATATTGCTCTTGTTTATCACAGATAGGATTTCTTAGTACATCATCATTGCAGCAAACGGAAGTTTGACACAGCAGTCTAATTAGTTTGGATGCGTTCAAGATGTGATGGATAAATGGATTATTTGATGGTGCTGAGTTGATCTACCTGACTCTGTCAAATATAATCTGCTGATAAATATACTGTCTTGTACAAAAAAATTGTACATAGATTGTACATGGTTTCTTTTTGTATTTTTTCTCAAATTAAAATGGATGTATTTGTGTTCTAAACCTGGACATTCTCCTAATTGTTTAGAAAAATTCCAGCTACAAACAGCAGTTCTCAGTTATGAACTATACAATTATATATTTGGAATGACCATAAATAGAAAGTGATACAGTACATACACAACTATTACATGTAGTTTATACTTGTAAACAATGTCCATACGTTAAATAATGTTATACACTTGCGAACACTTTATTAGGTACACCTTGGTAGTGCTCGGCCACCTTTTGCCTTCAGTACTGTTTTAACTCTTCATAGCATAGATTTAGATCCTATGTGAACTGTAGCCTCAATTTCCTGTTCTTAGTTAACAAGAGTGGTACCCATTGTTGTCTTCTGCTAGTGGAGCCCATCTGCTTCAGGGTTCAACATGTTGAGCATTTGGAGACACTCTTCTCCATAGCTTGGTTGCTGTGTGTGGGTATTTGAGATACTGTTGCCTTCCTATCAGTTTGAAGCAGTCCGGACATTTTTCTCTGACCTTCTCTGACAAGGCATTTTCTTCCAGAGAACTGCTGCTTGGACCATTCTCAGATGTGGTTATTTGGGAAATTCCCAGTAGATCAAGGGTTTCTGAAATATTCTAAATAGTCTGTCCAGCACTAACAACCGTATTGTGTTCAAAGTCACTTAAATCACCTGTTTGTCCCCATTCTGATGCCCGGTTTGAACTTCAACAAGTCATCTTGACCATGTGTAGATACACAGGTTCAATTTGATTGTCTGATTAAATTCTGTGTTAACAAGCAGTTAAACCAGTTTGTCAGGTGTACCTAACAAAGGAGCTGGTGAGTTTATTTTAGTAGCAGGCTCCGAAACTCAGCTAGCCTGCTTCATGGGGTCTGTGTTTGGGTGTTTTGATCTGATTTAAGCAATAATTGACAGATAACATAAGCAAACATCCCTCTAATTTTTTACCATATATTAATTAATCTTTGGCTCTTTTCCACAATGTGTCTTTTGCTTCTCCTCCTTTAGTCTGGTTCTGCTGGAAGTTTCTTCCTGTTACCACCGTCACTAAGCATTTGCTCATCAGCATCTGATTGTTGGGACTTTCTGTCTGTTACTGCAGAGTCTTTACCTTACATTATAAAGCTTCTGGAGGTGATTGAAAGTGCTTTCTATTAGATACACCGAAATCTCGTATTTGTCTGATAGGTGTCCATTCGGTGCAGTGTTTGCACAACTCTGTTTGCAAATGAAAAATAAAATGCACAGACCAAACCAACATCACTCCAGCCAGCATGGAGCGTTCATGTTCGTGCACAACATCAAATATGACCACCATCAGTCTACCCACATGCCAAATTATCTCTCTAAACATGTACAGTACAGTTGAAAAAGACCCAGCCCCTGACCTTGACCATGAACAGGAGACACCTGAGATGAATACAAACTGTATTTTACCAATCCTCACCCTGCCGAGGGGTCGGTGACCCTGCCGTCCAAGTCCCACCACCAATCGCGTATCCTCTGAGTCTGGCATTAGTCTTGATTTACGTTTACTGACACGCTATTAGCTGCTCCATCACTTTCACCTGTCACACTGTCAATCAATGAGGATCCACACAGTGATGGGTGGGAATAGCATTCTGTCCACAGTAGCTCGTATATCTCCGCCAGGACAGTGACAGTGGATGAGTAAAGGACATCATACCAGGTATCTCGCTGTGCTGTCATGTCAGCGCTGTGGATGTGCGCCACATCAGGATGTGTAGCATCTTAATGTGGATTTGGCTTGCAGATACAGTTATTATAGAAGCGACTGATTTATTGAGGGAGTAATCCTCTTTCTCGCTGTTAGAGCTACGACATGTCAAAGCGAAGCCCGCACCTTGACGAGCATGTCATTAAACAGCGCTAACGTTGGAGGATTTTTAACCTTTCTGTAATGCAGTAATTTTCCAACTCCAATAATCTGTTTAGATATACACTGCAGTGAACACTGTGCTGCCCGTGTCAAGGGTACGGAGATATCTCCCGAGAATCCTTCAAACATCACGAGCAGCACCAATTCTGAGGTGTTATGATGTGTCAGGATGACTTCTCAGACAACGAGCCACTCTTATCTCATAGCTAGAAATCAGTGGACATCTCATAAGTCTCCGAGCCCTGCCCTCCTTCCCCTCCTCCTCCTCCTCCTCAGCTGAAGTGTGCAATTTCACACTCCAACGTCAAACAGGCGGTCAGAAAGAGAACGTATGACCCACCCTGGCATTTGTCCTCATTTCTCTCTCAAATGTGCAAACACTATTACCCTTGGGTTATCTTAAGTGGTGTGGTGAAGAATCCCGGCCTCTCTCCTCTCTTCTCCATGCCAGACACCCAGACATCAAAACACGACGAGGGGTACGGACAGAGCGGGGATAAAAGACAGAGTGAGGCAGGAGGGAAAGCGATGGAAATGGAGCAGATGTTTGTGCGGCTGCTGATTTGTGGCCTGATAAGGGTGCTACACAGGCAGCTGGAATTGATGGCTTGTTAGTGAGGACGGGCCCCTCTGTGAGATGTTTTCAAAATGATTGATTTACAATAAAGTGGCTCCGGGTGTGTGCATGCAGGCAGAACTGATGCAGATCGATCCCGCTGAAATTGATTGATCAGCCATTTAGGTTGGCAGTGTGTTTACTGAACAAAAACGAGCAGGACTCTCCTCCCAGCTCCCCCCCTCTCCACCCCCACCCAACTCTCCATAAAGCAGAGGAGAAATGCCACCTCTGGGCCTGTCTCATTTCTCTGGAGGTGGCAGCAAATACAAGCCCTATCAGAATATGAACCATAAAAATGTAATCATACAGTGAGAAATACTGGCATAAACGTTTACGATTGTGTACTTTATTCTCCTATCAACGTGTCCTTCTGTGACTTGGAGATACTATGCCTTTAAAAATAATGACTTACCTGCTCTATGCAAAGGGAGGGAATACTGTTTGCCTTATCTCAGTGTCACATTGAGACTTTCAGAGGGAGGCATAGAAATAACTAATAATAGTGGATTTCAGTAAACAAGCAGCACATTCTCAGCCATACTTAAAGCTGACACACCAGCAACCTTTAGCCTACCTACACTCACATGCCTGTCATACATAATGTAGAACAGCCCTCAAGTGTTAAAGTGCCTCGTATATGGCAATTTTTCCAAACGGCACATACAAGGGTCTCCGTGTACATTTTATAAGGAGTTTTACTGATGGATAAATCACAAGGACAATGTTTACCATGTGACCTCTGTGACTTTTCTTTACTTCCTCTTTGCCAAAACAAACCTCTCCACCAGCCAGCTAAGGACTTAAATCACCTGTCCTCGCACGCCTCGTCCTGTTATTTGGATAATTGCCAACAAGAGCAAGCTTTTCCATTCTCAGGACGACGTGTGGTGGCCCCATCATGTTCCTTATTAACAATTTTACACACTTCGTCGCAGCGAGAGGGTGTCAGAATGCCAATAATATTTACCGTCTGGTGTGCGGGCTATTCAAGGGAGGCTGAGTGTTGCTGATTGCCCTGACAGAAGCTGACAGCACCCTGAACCTGAGATCCCTGCAAA